TTCTAAAGAAATGACACCCTTTCCCAACAAATGATGTTTCTGGCAGCTTATCATTTGTTGTTTCAATTGTCCTCGATCAGTTGTGCTACTGACTGTGTAAAAGCTCCAGAGAAAGAACGTTCTTAGAGACTCTGGGCTCACCCCCTCTTGTGCTTCCACCACCTCTCGAAGCCCGATGGGCAGACTGCGCACAGGTAATGCTCCCTGCGAACACGGAGGCTCCCACAGAAGCAGTCAGTGCAACGTTTTGGAGGCCCAGCACGAAGGCTTGATTCGGGGTAGAGGGATGGGAAATAGCCTGGATAGAAGCAGAAGCTTCATTAGGAGAAAGGCATGTTAAAAACAAGCATATTTTTGGAAAATAAAGTGCTCCCTTTACGCCCCAAGAAGAGGGCTGCATCTCTGCCAAACGCTAAGTGCCCTGCTCGACCACGGGATGCTCAGAGTCTCAGCCCGTATGATGGTTCTAATAGAGCTGTACAAACACACACCAGGACACACAACTGCTGTAGTTCAAGGGACCTGTCAGTGTGTCAGCTCATATAAGCAAAATCTCAAAAACCTAAAAATGATACAGCATTTCTTCTCCTGGCCGTGGTACAGACGCTGTAGGTGTTTATCACAGCCACAGCTGGTGTACTAGTGGCCCAACAGTTAAGCACCATCTTCTGGAGGGAAAAACCTTCTAAAATATCAGATTCAGATATGAATCTACCTCTCTCCCTTAGTAAAATCATCAATTTATACATTACAAAGGGGTTTTGTTTTGTTTCTTTTGCTTTAGATAGTGCAAAACTAAATACATGTAAGAGAACTGAGAACGCCTGCTGCTCATTAAAAACTCAGCAAGATATTTTGGAGAGCTGCTTGTGTTACTTGAAACAGCTATACAATCACCATCATTAAGGAGATGCCTGCATTTCCCAGACTCTTTGCTTTTTGGCTATAACATACAGAACATGTATAAATATCATTTACCCAAATACTTGAACGATATAGTCGAGAATTCTGTCTCAAAAAACCTTAAAATGATCAAAACCTCCAAAATAAGTGATTAGAATAGTTCAGTCTTGCAAAAAAAGAAGAGGAAATGTCTTGGTGGCTTGGGGGGTTTTTTCTTTGGTTTTTGGGGGGTTTTTTGTTTGGTGGCATAAAGGCAACTTATGAATTGTCATGTTTGTTTAGGTTGTAGAGATATTAAGAACTCCTCAAACAACATCCTTCCGAAATCGGATGAAATTGCACTGCAATACAGGTGAATCAGTTAATGAAAATCAGAAATAGGAAGAGATCTGAGGGCGCTTAACACCACACTCCGTGCAGCACCCTTGTCACTGCAGTTCACCACCACCACCAGTTCAGCGATGGAAGCCGACATTTCTAGCCGAAGCACGCAACTCGAGCACTGCTAATGCAAATTCAGAGTCTGAAAATATTGTGGAGAGGTCTGTGTTCAGACAGCCATTCTTCCTTAATTTGAATATAAAATGACAAGACATGAACGATCAAGAGAACCAAAATTTCCGCAGCTATTACGTGAAAATGAACATTATTAAAAAAAAACCCAAAACCAAACAATAACAAAACTAAAGCAACGAGCAAACAATATCCTCCACCCCACCAAAAAGACAACAAGCCAAAACAAACACATCTGGAATCACAACAGACCTCAAATGTTTCAAACTGTGGGTCCTGCCAAGGAAACCCCTCATAGCTGCTTGCTTCGACAAGGAACGTGTTCAAAGCAGTGACACAGCGTAGCGTTTATTCTCCAAATAGCTAAAGGTAACAAAGACAAACATGTGCAGTCTACCTAGAGAGAGGGAGTGTATGCAGGGGAGCAGAAGTCAAACACCCGGGTGCCAGGGGAGCTGCAGGGGCTGTCCCTGGCCCGCGGGGGGGTCCCCGGGACGGCTCCGGCAGCAGCAGTGGCTGCTGGCAGGGGAACATCCAGCACGTGTTCTGAGGGTTTCAGGAAGTTTCGGTTGGGTATTGAGAGAAAAAGCCAGAAGAAAGCAAGCAATAATAAGACATTCACAAAGGATGTTCTCTGCAGCATTGTATCTTCTACTATAATTAACCTTACTTCTCCCCAAAACAGAGAGCACTATTCAGGACTACGTTCTATTCATTTGAATCTTGTTCTTGGCTGGAAAACCACTCCCTCTTCTCCCCACTCATTAAACCGTAGTTGCCTGTACTGCTCGTGCTACTTGTTGAGTGCAGTTGCACTGCCTTGGAGTCCATGATGACAGTTGCTTACGTCTGGTTGATCTGAGGGGTCAGTATCGAAGGTACACCCAGAGTAAACCGAAAAACGCACAAAGTCCGTGGTCACACCCTTCCCCTCTGGTCTCCTTGTGCAGTCTTATTATGAACACTAGTTTAAATCTCTACTGCATCGCCCTAGGCTATCCGGCTAAAATCCTTTTCACATCAAGCGGAGGCGTCCCACAATGTCTCAGTATTACAGAAACCCCTGTTAAAACAATTCTACAACAAACAACCCCCTCAAACAATGCCTGATAACCACTCGCCAAGACGAGCCACAACACTGCGAAAATCTCACGGTTCGATAATTGCTGCTAAATTTTTGAAAACAATCAGCTGAGGTACTATTACATTCAAAGCCACTGCAAGATATTTTACGGGTATTTTTTTGTAGCCTAACGACCGCAGATACACAACTGTATCTGGAAAAGCTAGAAACTACCTCACTATAGGGTGAGAGATAATGAGTTAAAATTAAAGGTTGCTGCTGGCTTGCTAGCCCATCCCCCTTTAGCTAATCTGTCATGTAATGAAGAGAAGCACCTAGCATAGGACAGCTAGCTGCCGGCTCACTTACAGCGAGCTGATTAAGAATGTTCAACCAACAGCAGACTGCAGACCTTTCCAACGAAAATAAATAGACTGTATGCAAATGTGTTTGTCACTTTGACAGCATGTCTCAATTAAAGCATCTCGCTGCTGTTGGTAGGCTCTCTCACTGCAGCGCTATGGACGAGGCTTACTGCATTACTGATACACGGGGCTTGACCCTAATCCGCATGCATGCATTTTAAAAAAGTCTGCCTTTGCCATATACACGAGCATAATACTAGCAGACATAGAAAGCAAGTGACAATGAGAAAAAAGCCTCTTTCATCCTCTTCAGTTTATAAGAGCTGTGAATGCACAAACAGCCCTTATTTCAGAGTTCTTGTGGCTTTTTAATTGTTCCCACCTACTGTATTCTAGACAGAGTTAAAAGTGACACTAAAATCTCTCCCTTTAATCACGAGTTAGAAGCCATCTCCCATTTAAACACTAAATGTTGCTGCTTTTTTCCCTCCCCAAAGCCTTAATTTCTATTTCATAAACCTGACCATCCTTTCCTTTTGAATGAAAGTATGATTTAATTTCCATTTTGGCATCGGGCTACCAGGAAAAAAAAGACCCGTGAAAGGACAAAGGCTATAAGAGAGATAGCCCTACAACTGCTAAGTTAGATCATTTTGGGGAAACCGACATTTGTAATGTAATGACAGGAATAAGCATTTAGCAAGCGAGCCCTTCACCACAGCCAGCGGTTCAGTAAAGCTGATGTGTGTTCCTTTTGACACAGAGAAAGCGATCATTAAAAAATTTTAAAGTCACCGTTAAAAAAACCTCATGAATTTAAATTTGCATTTTCCGCTCGATCGTATTTCATTAATCTGCAAAAATGTTTGAACCATCCATCCTTCATAAAAATCCAAAGGAAAAAAATGAAAGTAGATTATAATATTATCTGGATTTCTGACTGCTTTAACCGAAATGTAACGTTTTCCTGCTAGAGCTAGATGGCTACATTTCTCCAGTGGCCCCAGTTCCTCTCAACTGTCTTGGCACAGAAAGTAAGCGAAAAATAAATCACTACTGCAAATATTTAATGGGAAGAGAATCTGTTTTTTTTTTTTTTTAAAAAAAGTCTCCAAGAACTTACATTTAGCACAGTGGAGGAAGTTCTGAAAGAAACAAATCTAATTCTAAAATGATACAGACAACATCGCTCTGAGCAATGATTAACAGCTCGTGTAGCCCTATCTAATACCTCAGGAGTCAACGCAGCTACACTGACTAGTGTCTATTAACAATACTTATCTAAAAATCTGGTTTGCTTCACATTTTATAATTCACAATATTTTACAATCATTTTAAAATTACACTCTGTTTCCTTAGAAGAAATCAGATATTCATTCCTGTTTTCTGATCATAATACTGTCAAAAATAGATACAGAAAAAGAAAAGAGAACTGTGAGCACTAATAATGTTATTTTTTGAGTCAGGCTACACTTAATAGGGGAACACTGGCAAACTGATAATAAATACTGTATGTTTTTCCATGAAAATCAGAGCAACTAGCACATTTTCTAAATAACTAGCTCTTAAAAAAAACCCCCACACAACCAAACTCACTCCTTTGCAGACATATCAAAAGAAACATTATAAGAGTAACTAATGTGTAGAGCTCAGTCGTCAATACTGAAATACAGAGTACACTAATAAGCTATTAATTGATTTTTCCATCTTAGTTCATCCCATTTAATTTTCAAAGAATGTTAAAATGCCTTAATAGTTGGATGTTCCATATTGACACTAATGATCTGGCTAGATAACAGAGAACATTTTAAATTATACATCCTCAGTCCTGAGGGCTATAGCACTTTGCACGCTAAAAAAACCCAGCAAAATAGTTTATAAAAACGCTGTAATAATTGTGTTTCCCCTCCCATTCACTTATTTCCCTCAAAAACACTGTATGAACAAAAGGAATCAGTAAACCCAGAAAAATCAGGTTTTACAATTTCATTTTAACAGATACAACAGAAATAAATCTAAAAAATAAAAAAAAGCCCACAGAATAATTCGGTTACAAAAAAAAAAAGAAACAATTGGCATATTCGTGATTGTGACTTTTTTTCTGAAATCCTTTTGCTGAGTCACACAAGTTAAAGAAACCTAACCCTAAGACATACCTGACCAAAGTGCACTGTGATTGGCCTTCTGTCTTCTCTTAATTTAGGGTCCTTCTTTTCCACCAATGGGGAAGGTGCCGTCCTTGGTGGAGCTTCCTCCGGTGCCGCAGAACACCCGTTCTCGGCGATGTCCTGTATGGCAGGAAAAGGTGAATAGCATGGCCAGGAACATTCTCGATTGAGGGTAAGGGGCACAAAGGAGACACTAGAGGATAATGCTGACTAACGATTTTGATGTTAGGGGGGAAAAAAAACCCACACCAAAATACAAAAGAAAACATCATTAGAATCAAACATTTCATTGCACTTTGTCAATCAGAGCTTGTATGCAGCCACTCTCTACTCCTAATACCAACGTCACATGCAAACAGATAGATTCAATAAAATGTCTGACTTAAACATGCAAAAGCCAGGAAATATGTAGGGAGAAAATAAACATAGCTCAAAATTTCTGTTCTAGGAACAAACTCAACAGCAACCTCGGAGTATTACGCTTTTTTTGTAAACCTAAATGAAAACAGGGATACTATTTACACACGCCACAGAATTATCCGTAGCAGAAAATTTACTTGTGGAAGTGGCAAGGAGAGATGAAACTCACAGCTTAGTTAGCTTTGCATTTTATCTCCAAGCCTGCGTATACTGAATCTGCCTTCAGGAGATCCTATAAAACAAACCGGTGCCTAGCAGGATGCTGGTTTGTTCTGCTTTGCCTTTGCCATTAGTCCTCACCTTCAGAAGTGACGCGACCCATCAGCCTAGGTTAAGGAGACGTGGCAAGTGTGCGTATGGTACATGTAACATAGAGCTTGAAAAAGACAAAGGCATGCAGACATAAGGAATCAGACAAGGAGAAACGAGTTTGAACGTCAGTTGAGAAACAGTCTGTAACGCTCTGGGCCCCAAACCTTACATCTCTTTGCAACAATGTCAAGGAAATAATGCTTGGTAAATATAGAGAGAAACCTGCACACACTTTAGCTCTGCAAGACTGCCCTAAGGTTGGCTGCTGACATAGACATTGCTTTGATTCCCTGACCTTTGACATGCCCCCTCAAGTTTCCGTCTTGCTAAGGTACAATAATGAGACATGTAAGCTGATGGCCAATTAGAAATGGTTCTTTTGGACACAGACTGACCTAATGTGTTTAGGTCAAATGAAACAAAAAGCTGGATGGACTTTCTAAGGGGCTTTGTCTGCTGAGAGACCTTTTTAGATCCAGCTGGTAGAGCGGTGGTTCGCCAATATGGCCATGAGGATCATGGGGAAATTAACAACTTGTTAAGGTCAAACTAGAGAGAAAAACTTTTTCCTCCCCCCTGTCCTCCAGCTGCACAATGCTACCTTGTCTTTAAAAAAAACCACAACAGAGTACACCGAATTAGTAACAAAGAGCCCCAAAACAATTCAATGACAAGAAAAGTGAGCTGCTGTCAAACTCCTACTTCGGCTCCAAGGCAGCAACACGCTACAAGGGATCTGATGGGTTTGGAATCACACAACCTACGGCAGCAACGTATGCTGCTCTGAAACGCAGCGACATCAAATACAAACTTTATTTACATATTTCTATACAAGTATAACTATACTAAATGTGCACCAAGCTTCAGACCCGTTGTGCCTAAGCCATAAACGTGTCCAGCACGTTCAAAGCCACCTGACCCGCACTGAACAGCTCCCAGCACTTCAGAGCTTTCAGAGTTCCACCTGCACCTGCGGCTCCAACCAAGACAGCAGACAGCTGGGAATCAATGGGAAGCAAAGCATCTTCCAGTCCAGGCAAAATTTCCAGAAAAAACATAAAACGGACGCAAAAAGTTCGTACATCGGGGGAACGGGAGGAGATAAAAGATACAGACAGATCAAGCCATTAAGCAAAATCCCCTAAGATGTGTAACGATCACTGCAAATCCTCGCAGCTTTTATTGCTATAGATTTGCTGTACTTCTCTGATGGTGTAATTGTATACAAAAGATAACATGTTCCTAAAGCGACTTTCCACTGTGCTCAGTGTACAGACTTCCAAAGAAACTGCAGCAGATTTCAGTCAAAATTATTATTTTTTTTAAATTTACTTTAAGATATGACAATTGAATTATTTCATACCTATTTTTTTCAAAATCCCGAAAAGGGAGACAAATCAACAACACAGCTTCAGTCACCGAAGCAAAATTTGCTTTACAAAAGTTCCGTGACAACGCATTTGAGCTAAATAAACTGAGTAAAGCTGGTTTTAAACGCCCCAAGTAAGGGCTCCAAGTGGCTTTAAAATGATTAAATGGCAAAGTGTTTGGCAATTCTATAATTGGAAAGTAGACAACAGGCCTTCAAAGCCGTCTGTGACATACCTTGAGTCCACTAACAGACTTTGAATGCAGTTATTCAGATTCAACGGGGAGTACAAGACAGCGAGAGAGATAAAACCACAAACAGGAAAACCGGACTCTCGGATTCTGAACTTCAGAAGGGTGTCAGGGCTCACAAAATATCTACTGCTAAAAGCAGTTCTTCAGCTTGAGAACTGGAAATGACCAAAGAAGTGCAGTGGATCATAGTGCAGGCAGGCCTTCAAAAAGTGCCCGTTCCTGGTACAAAAAGCAAAGCCGGGCAGGGCTGAGCATCCCCCGCTGCGGGATCCACCGCGCCCGCGGGAGCACGGCCCGACCCTCCCGCTGAGGCTGCTGCTGGGGGGCTCCTTGTACCGCCCTGCGCTCCCCAGGTACGACATGTCCCCAGAGACGGGACTCGGGATAAGCCAGCAAGACATTCCTGAAGTAGCTTCAGTTATAGATATTAGTCAGGAACAACAGAAAACACGAGACCTGTCCCTCCCAGACAACAGAAAAATGAGGGAAGAGGTAAAATTACTCATTCCTGGAATAAATTCTCCAGAAATGCAAAAACCTAGCAATGTTTCAGTGACTTTTTAATGAAAAGAAAGTGTAGTTTATGGACATTATTTAAATAAAGAGCTTCCTTTCACCTGAGGAAAAAAGATACTTCATGGATTACAGGCAAAAGAGAATGACAATGCTGATCACACTCTGTAATTATCTCCATACATAAACGGGGCCTCCCCTACCAACTGTCTGTACAGGTGAAATCTTAACTACCAATTTATTTTAAAGGAGGAACTTCAGAGAATCAGTAAGATATATATTTACAGATACGTCGTTTACCCTGTAAGCCAAATAAGGTTTTCTTTTGTTTGAATGCTCATCAATCATTTTTCTAGGGACCTTCTGTAATGGACTACAAATAATGTCTATTAGAACAATAAAAAACACATTCCAGAATATCTAGAAGGATTCTTCAGGTTATTTTATAAACTTCTAAATGAGTTGTTTCTAGCTGTACTGATGATAAAGCACTGACAATAGCCCACTGATAACAGACATTAACTAGAGACACACAGGGCTCTAGTAAGTAAAATAATGTTGAATACATTAACGCCAAGTGCCCAACCATTTATATAAATTGTCTTATCCAGAAGCTTTCAGTAAGTTACATTCTCCTTACTGAAAGTTGAGGACGGTACCATTCATATTCCTCCTTCTTCCTAATTCTATGTAGTTAAGCTTCAAACGAGCCAATAACGGAGTGACTTGACCACCATGGTCCATTTGTGAAATGGAAAAAGCAGCCTTCACGGAAAAAAAAAAAAAAAGGGGGGGGGGGGAAGAAAGAAAGAAAAAGAAAAAAGAAAAAAGTACTGTATCAGATATAAAATAAAGCTACCATGCTGTTTCTATTAACAATTATTTGCTATCACTCATAAGAATCCTCTGAAAACTATTTCTGTTGCTTTGAAATACTGTACCACAAATGAACAAGGGATGGAAATAGAGCCCCATTCAATCTCTACTATCATATTAAAGAAGGACCTTACACACACCACAGTGACCTCTCAACGGGTCAATCCTGCATTTCTCATTTGCAATTCAAACCCAAGACTGGAGCAGACCAAGGGCAAAATGGGCTCTTGATTATATTTAAGAGGTCACCATTGCTATGCAGAGTTGTAGGAAGCAGACCTCTAGCTTTATTGCATTTTTAAATTCTATCTTGTACAGAAGCTGCTCATATTTGGCAGTAAAAACTGGAAAAGGGATGTTTATATTTGACTTTTCCTTACCAGTGGCCTGCATACTTTTTCTATTAATAATGGAAAATAGTATGTTATAATGCAGTGGATAGTAAGTTCACTTTAAAAATAACCTTAGGTTATCCTTAGAAGATGAAAGACTAGCATCCCAAATTTGGCAAAAATTAAGTACTTAATGATGCCAGCATTTCACACAGTTAACATTTGCACATACTAGTAAGTAAACACATGAAAAATACAATGTTTTCACGTGAAAATCAGTGAGGATGCACCGATAGACTTGGCAACAGAGGGGCACAGGCATTTAGATTAAAAATGAGAGTGGCCAAAACAATTTTTGCTATTTTTATCACTTTAAACGGAGTAATACCTCATTTTAGAGTTGTCTTCCTATCTTGCATTCAATATGGAGAAGAAGATGGGATGGAAAAGCACAGCCTTAACGAAGCAAGGAGAGGTAGAGCAGTACATGTCAACTACTCATAGAAATCTTCTAAGCTCTTGTGAAAGCGTATGCTGAACAATCTTACAGAAATGCCGCATCATAAGGAAGGTGAAACAAAATCGGGCCATTTATTTGTAAATGTTATGTGTGGGTTTTTTTAAAAGAACTTTTGCTGCTTGAAGGACTAGGAAGACAACAGTGATAATAATAAAACAAAGCAATGAATGAATGAGATGTTTCTCAGCCTTTGATACAAATGTCACAAGCAAAGCATACAATTATATTAGCATTTAAAATACAGGAAAACAATCTGGTCATTTTACACAGCTCCAACTGCTTTACAAATGCACAAGAGAAGGCCAAACATCTTATTATTCATGAAGGTTATGTCCAGAAGTGAAACACATGGAATTACATAAAAAAATTCCATGTACGAGAAAACTGCTTCATGTTTCCAATGCTCTCCTATTATTAAATGGTCACATACGAAGCAGTAAGTGAAATAAAATAGTGTTAAAAGCATCTGATGCAACTTTATCTTCCTCAAAAACGCCCGGCAATCTGCTAGAGTATTTAGAGAGCGAACAGAATTTGGATTGTACACACAGCTAATTTCATCAGTTCACAACCTGGCTGCACAATAATCCCTCTGTATTAGCAGCGTGTTGACATGTTCGGGCAGATTTCTGTCTGTGCCACAGGAACACGTTTGCAGCGCTATCCTAAGATAATGGTCTAGGGAATTAGAGAAGAAATTTATTGAGATAGCACAGATTAAAAAAAAAAAAACAAACAGAACTACGACGCAACAAACCGAATAAAAATTTCCGACCAAGAACTTCAGTTCTCTTAGCAAGTTACTATCTTGTTTTCCCAAAAGACTCCAATAGCTCTGCTTCATAGAGTAAACAGAATATCTGAAATCAACCTAAGGCAGAGTTAACCGTTCACTCATAAGGTATGCATCAACAGGAGCATACTTCTGGCTTAAAAGCAGCAATTAGTACTGGATAACACATTCTTCGAACACAACTCAGCATTCTTGGAATTGTAATGTTTACAAACAAAGACAGATTTGGAAAACAACAAACAGTTTGAGGCTGGTTTGGTTTTTTTTTTCAGTAATAATTCAGATTTGAAATGAACACCAACTCTCATTTCATTCCTTTGTGCCTCAACTTTGCAGAAGACACTCACGAAACATGTGAGTCCTTTTCCCAGTGACAGACACCGTACTATTTTCCCCAAGAGATTACTGTAGAAATAACAACGATTTGCCATTTGCAAAAAGTTCGCTGCTATTACTGTAGGGAAGATCTTCCAGTTCACATAAAGTCCCCTTCCACAATGCCCCAGCACAAAGGACGGGAGAGGGACCACTCCAAATAGAACACTCAATTTTCTGGCTTTTGTGGGTTTAAGTCAGAGCCTTAATGTATTTGAAGACAATTTTTTTTTGTGTGTCTGTGAATATTTGTAACAGTGTGAAAAATCCAGGACAGCTGGTAATGCATTTTGAAGTGTGCTAACAACACTATATCAAACAGCTTCCTATTGATCACATAATGCTTTTTGTGGCTAAGTATTTCATACATGGTGCTTATACATTTTGAATAAGAACTTCAAGTACCTTTTGCTTCAAGCGGTTTTTCACTTCTTTTATTCCCATTTTTGCATGATCTTTTGCCTGCATGAAAAATTAATTTGTTAAAATCCCCTTCTATTTCCAGCAGTGACTAAGCTTGATTTCAGTGCGTCAAGATTCACCTTCTCTAGTTACTAAAAGTGGCAAAGAAAAAATTGAAACAGGATACTGAAAACATATTAAAACATACAGAAATTTATAAAGACCCCAAACAAACAAAAACCACCCCCACACTCGTTGCAAAAATTTTATTTTCTCTGTTTTGATGCCACAGACATCTTTCATCTCTTTGCACGCCACACCCTTGGTCTTCCCCTTCAGTTATTTATCTTCCCTAAGTTAACTATCAACGGTAACAGTAAGCCTGCAAACTTTCCCCGTGCAGCACTCTGGATGCCAGTTCCATTTAGTAGAGCTGATCTCATCCTACTCATCTCTCTCAGGCTGGAGGAGGGCAGGAGAAAATAAAAAAAAATTGGAATAGTTATCTCAATGCTTTTTGTAGCATTATTTAGTTCTTAAAATTGAGCTTATACGAAATCCTTGGTTGTTTTCTATGTTTTTTTTTTATCTTGCACACTGGAACTGGCAGCTACACATGATAACACAGTAACATACTAGCTGTTTGTTAACAGAACTGAAAACATTTTCATTTAAAGAATAACTCAGTAAGTTGGAGACTAAATAAGCAGGTGTAAGAAATCTCTAGGGAAAATTAATTGACATTTAGAAAAGATGGAAACCATTTGGAAAATGAGAGGATTCCCTTATTTCGATGAAGCTGCAAGCAGAGAAACCTGAGGTAACAATGATTTCCAACAGAGTAATGATGAGATGGTAGAGCTGCTTAGCAGAGCATATAGGCACTATTTCCCAGAAATAGTTCTATGTAATAAATAGAATTTATCATCTATACTTTCAAAAGAAATCACAAGTTCCCATTCTCCTTTGCATTTCAATTATGTTTAAATTTCAAAATTACTTTTCCATTTAAATTTGAAATTTAGATGAATGCGTATTTTAAGTAATTTTGTGAGTCCAATAAAAATGAATATAAGTCTTGAGTTTCATTTGAAAGGTTAAAACAGCATCGTAATTAGACTCTTATCTCAGTAGTAAGCCAGTACTTGATACTTACAAACTTATAGACAGTCTTCATGGCAGGGTTAGCCTTGGTCTTTACTGTATTTAAAATGGCTCCGCTTCCTTTCTGTAATTACAGTAACGATAGAATAAATTTTATCAGAGCTCTTTAAAGCAAACAGCAATCTAAAATCCACCACTCTTAAAATAACAAAGCATCAACTATGCTTATTAGCAGAGCTGACTATTAAAATGGTAAATTTAAAAAACAAGAAGGCAAGTTTTGCAGACAAGCCCCAGTTCTGTTTAATACAGTGGTTTTCAAATGACAAATGTCAGTGTCTCCTAATACCAAGAGCCCTTGTCGTGCAGGTCGTCTCACAAAGCAGCGTCCTGTGACTGTTCCGCTCACCCTCAAGGGCGTCCTGTACGTACGTTGCATTAAAATCCGAAACAAGTTTAAAACAAAAGTTTCCTAACAGACAGGCAATGTCTGGGGCAGAAAATTCTGTTTCAGGAAAGCCGGTACATTTGATCTGAAGAAGCAAGATGGTTTTTTTTAATTTTCCTTTTCACGATCCCTCAAGACTATTTATCAAAAGCATGCTGCCTTTTTGAGATCTGAGTAGTTGATAAAGGGAAAAATTGAGGGAAAATGAAATTTAACTACAGACATAAACATTAATTCTAGAAAAGCTGAATTGCATGTGATGACCATAATAAAAGTCATAAACCAGTAATGTGTCAGAGTAATGCGTTAGTCTGGTCGGTGTTTTATACATCTTCCACACACCATTGACCATGGCTGCACGGTACCTCATTTGATAAATACAGGAGATGGGTAAAATCCAAGGAATAAAATCTTCGATCATTTTATATTTTCTTATTTCAGTGCAAAAATATATTTCCAGAGATCAGATGCAATCAAATGCAAGCAGTTTTAAGATTTACCTTCCTACATGACAATTAATCTTCAACGAAAATTATAAACTAGTGCATTTAATTACATGTATTTTTATACACACACTCAGCTATTTCCCTTAAAATTTTATAATTAATTTGTCATCCTATGTGTGTGTGTGTATATATATATATATATATATTTACCCACCTAACTATATGATGGCATTAAAAAAAATTGTTATAAAATATGCTTAATGCAAAATTATCAAGATAATTTTAAGTCCAGTATTTTGTGTGAAGAACATAATTCCATTCATAACTAGGGCAGTAGGCAAACGGAATGCTGCAGAACTCAATTTTGTCAGAAAACAATCCAATCTTTCCTACAGACTTATAATCCTGAAATATTTTACTTTTCAACACATCACATTTTATGCATCAGAAGAGACATTTAAATTCAGCTATAACAATGTATTATTGTCTAAAAATATTTAAATTTTTATTTTATACAACTAGAGCACTAAACCAAACAGACAGAAAAACCATCCCAAACAGTGCTGTCCCCAATCAGCACTTCACACCGTGTAGCTTTATAAAGAGCTTTTTGGTGCGGCAACTTATCCTTTTCTTTCCTTTTCTATTGATGGAAAGAAAATCCCATTGTTTTCTAAAATGACAACTTATTCCCAGCTGTCTCCAACACATTAAAAACGGGATTCAAAAACTTGGTAATTCCTCTTGTGAGTTTTTTTTTTTGGTGTACTTTTTCTTCTGTTCTTTACTTCATCTGAGAGCACATTAATTTCTCACAACTAAACTCAAGTTGGTCGGAGCTAAACCCTGCAGGAAATGGGCTACTCATGTTCATGAGGACGGAGGTTCACAGGTGTACGGCACTCTACGATGGTCCACTAAGAATCAGACTGGCTGTTGGAAGAATATTGTGTTCTTACCCTTACTGTAGAGAGCCACTGGTGGTACAATTTGTCGCTACCTAGAGAGAATCACAAAAACAAATGAACCATAACTCTGTACCGAATAGAAAACAAGCTAGAAATGTGAAGTGTTGGCACTCAGCGGTTCTCGGAGCACGAACAGTACAATAACAGGAGAACCATCCTTTCCTCTTAATGGAAACACAACCGCCAAAAACAGGTATCTACAATTTTTCTTTTACTTGCTAAAAGTAATTTCTATTTTATAGGGCTTGTCTTTCAGACATCTGAAAACTGATGTGGTTTGGTTTTTGTTTTTTTTTTTAAGATCATCAAGACAAATCCGAGATGGTTCTGGCTAAAGCCTAGGTTTTTCAGCATCCTCCACTGCAAGAACCCTTTCAGTTGTAAGCTATTTAGCCAAGTGGCAAAGCTGAGACTCTGTAAGACTGAACAGACTTTACTCCAACTACGATACGTTACTCAAAGTCCTTGACAAAGGAAAGAACAAAAATTTAAGACACTTCAATCTACAGGGATCACTGCAGCCTCAGGTTATTTAGGTGAGTAACCACAGTGATCCATTACACGTTGATGGCCCACAAACAGTAAGTCAAGAACAATGTCTGAAATGACTTTAAAATACTGTATTTCTTACCTGCATATTCTCCCATATTTATCTCTTCTTCAAAAACATCACTGAAGCCCTCCCCAGAGTTAAGAAGATCCAGACGGCCATCAATGAACTACATCAGCATTAAAAGAGAGCGTAAACAAATCAACCATCCCATCCTTTATCTTTTAAAAAAACCACTTTATTCTGCATTTGCTAGAATAACCCCGATGTTCTTATTGGGAAGGGACTCTACATACAATGAAAATACAACCAAAGCTGGCAAAATATTTACCAATGCAAAAAAGGTATGCTACTTCACTAAAAAGAAAACCAGCATTCGTGTGTTTGTCTACATAGATATATTTTTAGTTTCCCTGAAGCAGTAATATCATGTTTAACAGTAACATGCTTTCTGTACAAAGCTTACAGCAAATATATTGGGTCTAGCTATGCTCAGATCAAAAGTGAGCAGAGACCTTCAGGGGAAAACACCATACACCTCTTAGAACACAGAACGCCTTATCTGGGAGAAGCCATCAAGCAGGAATTAGGCTGCTGCCAGCTACATGAATCTTCCTTATTATGTGGCTGACAGACCAAGGAATACAGAAAAGCCCTCAAACCCCCCCACTTGCATTGATAAAGAATCTGCTTCCACATTAGAGCAATTAAGTCAGTACCTGCTTAAAGAGCTGGAGCTGAATGGCATTCTGAAGAAACTGCCTCATGACAGCGGAACGATGGGACACAAACGTTTCTTCACAAAAAGTGATGGGCTCACCCTGTAGAGTTCAGAGCATTAAACACTGAAAAAGCTTTGTCTGAATCTATCTGAATCCACTGTGTCCATTTTATCTACTTCCCTTTCAAAATAAACAGATAAATAAATCAAGCCTTACGTAACACTGAGGAAACTGCAGTTTATTCCCAGGTTTCAATCATGTGACTGAGAAACAGGCTGGAAACTGGCAAATTGTGTATCACCAAAATAAAACACATTTGCTTTATGCACATTTTGCTGGTGGAAGAACTTTCATCATTCCAAAACCGTAATTTTACTTAATGTCCCCAAAAAATGACACAGAGTCATCTCAATTTTGCATCTTGTGCCAGTTAACCTGCACAAACAAGTCAGGAATGCTTACTCTGCTCTCTCCACAGTTCAGAAGGATTAGACTTCCATGCATTGAATGAGTGAAATTTCCCTTTTTCACAACCTTGTTGGCAAAAGACATAAATTGTTTTGCAGCTCTACTTTTATCTTATTTTAATGAGTTATGTTAATGCTGAAGTCTGCTGTGCATCTGCCATAAGGGCACAAATTTCCTCCACGCTTAAATCTACAAATACTCAATGTAGCAAGCAAATATATGGATTGAATTAAAAACAAGAAACAAGGAATGATAAAATTATATTGATGTATAATTAATACGGAGGCTTTTTCATACTCGTATTAAAACATATTTAGACTTTTCATCAGCTGAGTGTTCAAAATCAATGATAGCAAGAAAGCTTAAAGCATCCCCTTTCAAAGGGCAGTATCATTCCATTTCTGAAAGCTGTTTCTATTAGCACTCTCATTTGCTGTTGGCTGCATAAAGTCAGGATAACGGTCACTAAAACGACTGAGTTCAAAAAACCCTGTGTCACAGCACCGCTTGAGCATCCTGGGTTTTGTCCACCAATTTACATCGGAAGCCACCGTGTGGCCCCAGGACTTCTAATACCTAAATCCTCAAAACTGCGTTGGACAAACCGTGATGAAACTCACATTTCTTAAAATCCACAGGTATTCACCTTTTGCCCTGGGTTCCCAAACTTGTCAATACCTTGGCTACTGAGGTCTGGTCCCACCCCAGAGCTTACCAACCCGAGGGCTGGTATCACTGCTGATTGCCTGTCCTTTGACACAGCTGACCTCGTCACTGGAACTAAATGGTGCAAACAGTTCTATCAGGTTTTAACAGAACTTATGAGGAAGTGAAGGAAGTATTTGGCTTCAAATAATCAGACTGCATGAAGAAAAGTGTAGCTTAGTCCATGATCGGAGAAGTAGTTCACCAGGGGAAGGTTTAGCTTTCATTTAATCCTCACTTGCAAAACACTTGAAAGGAAACAAGCAACCCTTCCTATAATCTACAAGAGTCCAAAATTTCTCCCATGACCAGAGAAGAGTTTGAACAAAGAGAAGCTTCCTCCACTCCCCTGTACATCCAGCACGCCGAGGGCAGCTTCTCTTACAATGGAGCTGTGCACCATTCCAATAAACACACCGATCACAGCTGGGGGAGCCCAGTATTATTATAGCGTTAACACACTTCCTTCCCCAAAGTACTAATGATTGAGTTTGTTCATTAGGTTGATTAGACCTTTTGACTTCTTAAGAGACAATTCAGGCTCAACTGCTGCTAGATGACAGGAAAAACTTTAATCATCAAGGTCAAGCGTGAGCTTTTCAGCTTAGAATGCATTAGTATCTTCCATCCTCCATGACCTCCAGAAGGGTGAGCACACTGTTGCTAACCCCCATCCACAGCTTCATTACAAAAAGATAAGCTGGACAATACCATTTTCTTGACAGACTTAGTTAATTGTAAATTATAAAGCTAATCAGCTCTGCTTTTACTGACAGACGATACTACACGAGGGGACATGCTAAGAACCGCAGATATTTTTGCGAAACGAATGGTCTTGCTCACAAGTAAAACAATTACAGTAACTCATCCCGATAAACCTATCAACTCCTAAACTTGCTGTTTCAACAACCAGAATTTAGGCCTTGATTCATCAACACCATAAATAGCCATTATTCCCCTCTCCACCTCTAAATGCATAACAGAAGCTAAGATACAGCATTGCACAAGCTCTAAACGTGCACACAGTGCGACTCTATAAGGAACCTGATTTGATCGGTAATATTAGATAATTCGCATTGGATCACAATTATTTTTTAATACAAAAATTTACACATTTAAAAGACATTTAATTTGCAATCTTAACCCGAGAAGTAACTTTAAAATATAAGACTAAGACTTAAGACTCCCAGATGCACTGAAAAAATAGGTGCCTTTTCTTTATGCCTTTGCAAATCTCCCTTTATAGGAATATTTTATATTCATGTGGCATAATGAAGTTCATCAGGGCAGCGCTGCTATCTCATGACCCCTTAAAAAGCTGAAAAGTTTCAGCCCACATCTTATCCATTGCCCGCCCTATTTTTAAACTGGAATTCTGTTACATTCGAAAATAATGTTTGAATCTATTTAAGACAGCAAATGAAAAACAAAAGGAGTTTAGGACTTATTTCAGACTGTTCTAGAGTTTCATGAAACCTGCTGCTGTATTTTATGAAGCCGTAACGCAAATTGAAAGATAAAGCTTGATTTTGATTAGCCACGCTGCAAAAAATGTCACCACGATGCCCCATCTTTCAAGGAAGTCACTTTTCCTCACAAAGAACTTTCAGAAGAGAATAAAGGACCTCATGCAGACAGTTACTGTCAGTGAGAGAAGTATCAGACCTGAATTGTCCAACTTGCCACGCTCACAGCGAGGCACCTAACTGGCTACGGCAACAACTTTCACAGTGAATATAAAGAACTAAAAATATGAGGGACGGAAGACAGCACAGATTAGAGGAGGACTTGGAGGAAGGGGCAGAGACAACCACAAATGATACTTCTGGAAAGACACACAGGTGTTAAGATAATTCACGGAAGTCCAACTATTCCCATTGCTGCAAGAGACCAAAGTGTGCATGTGGATAATGGGGCTTTAAAGCCAGCACATGACCGCTGGAGAAAACATTAAGATAATAAAGACAGGGTTCAAGTTAGGTTAACAGTGAGAGTCTCTTGTACAAGCAAAGATTTCACAAAACTGGATTCTAAGGGTAAAAACAAAAAAAAACCCACCACCAAAACCCCCCTTAACAATCCAAACCAGAAGACTTTGTTTAGACAACCCAAAAAGTTATGCCATGGAAGATAGATGCAATCTCTTCTGCATTATCATGGTCAGCATGTGGTGCAGGGTAATGAATTTTGTGCTGCTGTATGCATGCCTTTACCCATGCAGGTGCTCCTTCAAAGCCTGTCTAATAAATACACAAGCCATTAGAGCTGCTCTGTAAACCAGCCACGAAATGAAAAAATGTGGGCGGAATTTAAAGGTGCAGAATAAGATGACAATCTGATAGTCTGCGAGCTGTAAGTCTAGTGTCAGTGTACGACGCAGCAAACTCCCAAATATACAGCAAGAACAATGACATGCAAGAGATTCATATATCAGGGCTTTATTACTACCTAGATGTTGCAAATAACCACATTCTTTACTAAAATTGGTTACGCTGCAAATGACAAAGTAAAGCCTGTAGGGATATTCTAGGAATCATCATCCTTAATTCCATCCAGAATTATAATGTCACTAAGATAGGAGAATGATCTTAGTGATCTGGATATATATGTCAACGTCAGATACACCAGCGACCAAAGCAAGCAACCGCTCTGCAGACCTTTCAAGAATTGTGATTACAACGTCAAGGAAAGATTAGCTCATCACAGCTGAAGAAGGATCATCAGTCAGCCAGCAGGATTCCATAAAGAAAATCTGAAATTGGTGACAGACACCTGATAGGACACTGCCTCGTTCAGCTTGCAATTGCGACGACAAATAACCTCCCCGTAACTAGTACGTACCTTCAGCACAAGAAAGCTCTTTGCATCTGCCTCAGTCATAATGGAATCAAGAAAGCACAGATCAAATACTCTGCATTAAGCAAATGATACCACTGCTTTATTAGCAGTTCAAGATGCTGCTCAGGAACAAAGAAATCATGTGCTCAGAGATTTGACCACACTTCTTCTAAAGAAAACTAAATAAGACTCTACTCAAAAGGAGACTACTACTGCTAAGTGTAATCTTGAGAAGCATTTAAAACCACATGTATTTACCAACACAGACTGTACTGTCCAAACACTGTCTCATGTAAGTGCCCATTTCCATTACCAGTCCAATTTCTGGCTTTTTTTTCCATGTTCCTCACTAGGGTATATAACCTCTGGTAGAGATACATCAAGAGAGAGTATCGCTACCCCCTTTTTAAAAAAAAATAGATTTACAGTATCTATATTTTTTAATAGATATTTTATAAGATTTACAGTATTTTAAAAAAGGCAATTTCTCTAAACTCTCAATCCTTGAAATTAATGGCGAGTTAGAATTTCTGACAGCTGACATTCTGCATGTGATCTGACAACTCCTGAATAAGTTGCAAGGATATCACTGAAGGAGAAATAAAAGGGAGAAAGGCGATTGCAAGTCAGTCAAATCACTGGCACCAACCCTAACACTTCATGACATCAACATCCCCTTCAAAACGTTGTGTGTCAAAACTTAGCTTACACCTGTGCTGCGGATCCCAGCAAGCGGCGCTCAGCGGCGCGGGCATCCCCCTGCCAAGAGCCTTCTCGTACAAAACGTTCCTCGACGGACAAATCACATGAGGTGAGACAGACGTGTTCTGCAGTGCACAAAATAACTTAAACAGCAGGCTTCCCCAAACTCCTAGCTTGGACGTGACTAAATCGTCACTGAAGTGTTTTTTCTGATTGTACTACAAAAGGAGTAGACGGCGCCTCGCACTGACAAAAGAAAACAGGAAAAGCTTGCAGATACGGAGCCGTTTGTGGTTACTGGCTTTCATCCAGTTTTCGCACGTAGATATTGGAAGTTAATACATTTCAAAATTTTACCTTGTAAGCATTCTCAAAATTCTTACGTA